GCTAAGGGGTTAATATGCACGTCTCCCCTGGTCCAGGCCTCTGGACTGGGAGCCCCCTGTGGAGGCCACTTGCACTTTCTCTCTTGCTCGGACTCCAGCACGGTCCCCCCTCGGTGCTTTGTTTCGGCCAGACCCCGTTCTCCTGGCCACGGGGGTCCCAGCTCGCTGTCACTGGTGTCTTTACGACGAGAACATCTTCCCAGGTTCTGTGGCTACTGAGAAGCACAGGTTTTTTCCGATTCCCAAGGGGAGGGGGCCTCCTTCCTGTCCTCTGGAGGAGGCGCCTCTCCCCGCCCTCCCTCTGCTGAGGACTGGCTGCTCCCGGGCCCCTACCCTCTGTCCCTGGACCCGGCGCCCGTCCCTCGCCACAGCGTTCGAGGATGAAGTGCAGGAACCCAGGGCCCAGGCCCGCAACAGTGTTCTCCCCGGCTCCACCCACGGGGACGTGTCCTGAACCTGTCTTGCTACCTTTAGGGTCTGTGACAGCCTGGAAGCATCCCGGACCAGGAGTTTAACCCGCCATCCAGGGCCACGCCAGCCCGTTGGAACAGTCTCCATCCCGGTCGGCCGGGGCCAGGAGATGGCGAGTCAGGATCTCCTGGCCAAATCTGCGTGTTGTGATGAAAAACGAAAGGAATTTCCTCTGGGGCCGTGTGCTGCTAGCCAGTTCACACAGTCCGCGGGGTTGGGTCTGATAGGGGGAGCGTCTCAGGGGAAAAGGAAGAGCAGCCCACAGGCAATTGAAGTGTTTTTGCGGGTGACTGTGGTTTTTATCTAGAAGCCTAAAAGGCATTTCCGACGGCGACCACCCAACCTGCAGATTCGAGCCCCCGGTAGAGACTCCGAGGACCGGAGGCAGGACGACACCCAGCGGAGGGACGAGGCGGTGGGCGACGCTCGTCAGGAAGAAAACATACAGAGAACAGTGGTCAGGTACGAGGAGCGTCAGTGGAGGCTGGACGTGCAGAAACGTTGAAGCCCGCGTATCTGACGTTTCTGAAAACCAAAGAGGAGGAGAATGAGCACAACGTCTAAAGTACATCTTGCTTTCAGAGCAGGCAGGATCCAGAGCGGGACCCTGGTGGGAGCGGGCCCCGCCTTCTCCTGCTTGTCCTGCCTGGAGTGGAGGGCGGCAGGGAGGCCCGCCGGGTCGGGGGGACCTTGGAGCGTTTGCATCTCCGCCCTCAAGCTGGCTGATTGCTCTTCCTTCTCTCCCCGAAGCTGGAGGGGAGCGGTGATTGAGCCGCAGCCCGGCACCGAACTTCCTTCGAGAAAGGCAGAGGCCCCCCCCAAGCCTTCGTCACAGGCCCCCAGGATTCAGAACCAAGCAGGTAAGGCCCCACCTGCACCCTGTTGGGCCTCACCTGGACATTCTGACGGAGAGGGTGTGCGGACGCCCAGAGAGCCTTGGAGATGACACCGGGCTCCTTGGTGGCCCGTCGCTGCAGCCACGGGCCGCCCGTGTGGGCAGGATGCTCGTTTCTCCGTTTCCCCGCCTGGGTCTATGCCACGGGGCATGGGGGCCGGGGCGCCTGGGGAATGTGGAGACACACAGCCGACCCCTCTGCACCGGCACCCAGGCCGGACGGGGTCTCCCGGCAGGTCTGCGGGGTCTCCCGTGGTGGCAGCCGTACTGGAGGGCCTTCCGGGCATGGGTGCTTTGTAAGCCCCGTGCAGCCTGTCTGCTTCGGATCTCACGGTGCCCTCTGAGGTCACCCGCCGGTCGTGTCCCCATTCCACAGATCGGAGAACTGAGGTTAGGCCTGTCACGGCCAAGGCCACGTGCCTGGTGGAGCGGGGCTCGCGCAAGCTCACCCGACTCGGGGCCCGGGCTGTGGCCCTCTGGTCCCAGCTGCTGTTGCCTCCGAAGGAAGGGGGACGAGGGAGCCCGGAGCCGGGACGCGCGGCCCCGGGCACGTGGGGGAGACGGAGTGATCGTGCGGCTTGGAGGACACGTGTCAGAGCCGCGGGTATCAACACGGATGGGCCTCAGACGACCCCGAGAGAACACGTGCGGTGCAGCCCCGGACGCGCACGGTTCTGTCCACGCGGTGACTCTGTAACTCGTGCCCCGTCCTCCCAGGTGTGGAGAGCAGAGACCTTCTGCCCCGCATCAGTCACGAGGGCACCCCGGAAAGGCGACATGGGGCCTCGGGGGCATCTGCTCCACGTTATTTCCTCTTTGAAAGCGCCCGGGGTGAGGAGGTGCGGCGGGGACACCTGGAAGATGAGGCGCTCCCGTCCGGGTCGGCAGCAGCCGGCACGCTCGACACTCCCGAAGCCAAAGGGCACGGTGCAGCCATCGGGCCCTCTCGCATCGGACCCCCAGAGGGTCGTGCCCGCCGGGCCCCTGGTGGAGGCGGACGGGCCCGGGCCGGGCGGACCTTGCAGGCCCCGGAGGCCTCGCCACCTTGGCAGACGTGTCCAGCCGTGAGGACCCGACCTTCGGCACCATCGACTGCTGCCCCACAGCCCTGGACAGGGCCCCCCCTCACCGTGCCCCATTCAGCTTGGGGCTGCAGAGGGGCCCCGTGTGAACCCTGACCGGGGCCGGTCCCGGTGACCTGCTGTCTTCCTTCCAGCTTCCCCGAACGAGCGTCAGAGGGCCGTGATCGATGCCTTCCGCCACGCGTGGGCCGGGTACCGCAAGTTCGCCTGGGGCCACGACGAGCTGAAACCCGTGTCCAGGTCCTTCAGCGAGTGGTTTGGCCTGGGCCTGACGCTGATTGACGCCCTGGACACCATGTGGATTTTAGGTCTGAGGAAAGGTATCTGCTCGTCCCCTAGCACGCGGCCAAGTTCTCCTCGGGTGACTCTAGGGCGAGCGGGAGGGGGCAGACGCTGTCGCGCTCTCCCTTCGTGTGGGTGACGGCAGCGGACGTGCTGGGCGTGGGCAGGGGCTTTGCCGCTTGACGTCGGGCGCCCGGGGGACGCTCAGGACACCCGCTGCGGACGTGGGCCGCGGCGTCCAGGGGCGGCTGCAGCCGGAAGGGGCTCTGTGGCGGGAGGTGGCACGGGATCCGGTAGGCTGTCAGCGCCCCGGGTCTCTCCCTCACGGCCTCCTCACGCCTCGCAGGTCGGGTGGCTTGGAGAGCGCGGGTCTTTGGTTGTTTCTGCATTGATAAGGCCCGTTTTCCCACCGAATCACTCACGCGGCCCTCTGTACCGCCGTGTTGCTCTCGAGTGCACGCCGGCTCCCTTCTGTCTGTGCGCGTGAGGACGCGAGGGCTCCTTCCCTGGCCGCAGGACACGACGTGGGGAGCCTGCGGGAGAAAGAGCGACACGGGAATGCAGGGGGCCCCCCGAGCGAGAGGTCACGGGGGCGTGCTAGGACCACTGACCCGCTCCCCTCCCCACGCTCTTCCGTGTCGCAGAGTTTGAAGAGGCCAGGAAGTGGGTGTCTAAGAAGCTGCGTTTTCAGAAAGACGTGGACGTCAACCTGTTTGAGAGCACGATCCGCATCCTGGGCGGGCTGCTGAGCGCCTACCACCTGTCTGGGGACGACCTCTTCCTGAAGAAGGCCGTGAGTGTCCCGGCGCCGGGGGGACTCACGCCTGCGGGGAGAGCAGTCCCGAGCGTGAGCGTGCGAGCGGTTGTCGCTGGGCTCCCGGGACTCGGTGGGGGAGGGGAGGGGGGAGGGGAGGGGAGGGGCCTGTCGGTTCCCGGTCCTCCGTGTTCCCGTCCCGTGGAGCCCGGTTTCCGCGCGTGCACGCGAGCGGCCGTCGCGCAGCCTGTGGGCACCGCGACTTGCAGGGGTCTCCCGGAAATCCTCGAGGCCAGCTCGGTTTGGCTGCCGTGGAGTGTCGAGGCCACGGGCAGCCAGCAAAGTCCCGTGTCCGCGTGACCGGACGGAGCCGGGGGACGGGCTGGCGTCGTGGAACGGAGGCGAGGCCGCCGTGCGGCAGGGAGCCTTGATTCCTCGCTGTGTTGTGTATCAGGAGGATTTTGGGAATCGGCTCATGCCTGCGTTCCAGACGCCCTCCAAGATCCCCTACTCCGACGTGAACATCGGCACCGGGGCCGCCCACCCGCCCCGCTGGACCTCGGACAGCACGGTGGCCGAGGTCACGAGCATTCAGCTGGAGTTCCGGGAGCTCTCGCGCCTCACAGGCAGTAAGAAGTTTCAGGTACGGAGGGGCCGGGCTGCTGGCCGGGAGTGCGGCCGGCTCGCCGCAGGAGGTGCGGGCTCGCGTGCGGGGCGGCCCTGGGCCGTCTCTCCTCGGCAGAGCCCGCTCTCAGTGAGAACCGAGGCCGGGGCGTCGAGGCGGCGCCTGGGGGCCGAGTCCCTGCCCGGCCCTGCCCTGCTGCAGGCCCGTGTCCTCAGGGTGCCAGCCGCCAGCCTCCCACGTGCCGCGGGCTGGGGGGGCAGCGGCGGCCGCGCCGGGAGGGGGGGGTGAGGCGCAAACGAGGGAGCCGCGTGCTGGGGTCGTGCTCGGGCCGCCCGCGTCCGGTTCGTTCGCTGCGGGTGAGGTTTTCTTCCGCGTGGAAGGCGCCCACAGCATTCCTCTGTGCCGCGGCCCGTGTCCGCGCGTCCGTTCCCGCGGCCGGCGCCGTGGGGGTCGTGAGAGGGTGCTCCCACCAGCAGGGTCCCGCCACGCTCGGGGCTCCGGCTCTTCCACGGCGGCCGGCGCGTGGTCGGTCGGTCAGCCTTCGGAGACGGCCGTCACGTCGGGCGCTTCAGGGTGCCTCGCCATGGATTTGATTTCTGTACCGATGACGCGCGGCGTTCCCCGAGTCCTTGCCGGCCCCGCGCGTGTGTCCTGGGCAGTGAGGTGCGTGCGGGCCCTCGGCGCCTGTGGACGGCGTGGTGGTTTTCCCGTCGTTGGCCCCCGGTCCAGCAGCTCAGCATGTGTGTCAGGCGGCCGCAGCCCGATGCCGGGGACCAGAGAGGGCTCGAGGCGGGTGTGGGCGTGTGTGTCGGGTCGAGCCCAGGAGGGGGCTCCCCGCGCGGGGTCCTGAGCGCGGTGACAGGATGCACACGGAGCCGTGGAGCGCAGATGCGGGGTGCCGCCCCCGCCGGGCAGTGAGCTCGGATGAGCTGAGGCGGGTTGGGTCTTGAAGGGTGCACAGGAGCTCAGCGTGGGGATGAGCCGCGAGTCCGGGCGCGGAAGCAGCCCTGCCTGCCTTCCCTCCAGCAAGTGGGAGCAGCCGGCCGCACCTGGGCAGGAGGTCGTGGGGGCCAGGGCTGTGGTTTTCAGACACGGTCCCCCCGTCCGGAGGATGAGTCGGGCCCTGTCATCGGGGCCGTGTCCTCTGCCCGCCCCTCGAGGCGGCCACGCGTGAGGGATCCGGACTGGGTCGCCGCGGGGCCTGGGCCAGTCTCAGAAGCCTCTGTCGGGCAGCTGGGCTGGGGGACGCCGCGGGCCGGGACGCCGGCCCGCCCTCTCCTCCACGGGGCGCGGATCCGTCCCGTGGGGGCGAGCCAGCGCAGCCCCTCTCTGCAGCTTGCCCGCCCCCTCGCTCAGCCCCGCTCTCCCCTCGTGTGCCCCAGGAGGCTGCGGAGGAGGTGACGAGGCGCGTCCACTCGCTGTCGGGGAAGAAGGACGGACTGGTGCCCATGTTCATCAACACGCACAGCGGCCTCTTCACGCACATGGGCGTGTTCACATTGGGCGCCAGGGCCGACAGCTACTACGAGTACCTGCTGAAGCAGTGGATCCAGGGCGGAAAGAAGGAGACGCAGTGAGGCCGGTTTCTGCTGCGTTGGGGCGGGGTCCCCGCGGCTCCGCTCGTGCCGGGTCTCGGTCAGGCAGCCGCAGCCGTGCCGGGCCCGCGCTCGGCCCCTCCGCGGGGGATGCGTTTCTTCCAAGCACAGCCCGTGTGCCGAGGGCCGGGGACCTGGCTGGTCGCTGAGCCCCATGGCCCTTCCGCGCCAGGCGGGGCCTGGGGTCTGCGCCTGGCCGAGGGGCCCCCAGCTCACCGGCTGAGCGGTCCCCCCCGGGGTTGCGGAGGCCACCGTGTGCACGCGCTCCCCAGCAGAAGGCGGCCAGGAACAGCTGGGCCTCCCGCGCTTACCGTTGGACGCTTAGAATACGCGCTTTCCCGGGGGGCGGCGCGATGCGTAGCCGCGTCCCACGGTGTGGAAGACGGAGCTCACCCTCATGAGGGAACCGGAAATCCCCGAAGTCTCGAGCCTGGGGGTGACGGCCACCCAGAACCCCCGGGGGCAGCTGCGGGCAGGGACAAGGGCGTCACATCTGGGGAGCCTGTGGGGACGTCGGGGTCCTGGGGCTCTGCGAGGCTGGGCTTGGGTGGTCCCTTGGGGCCGGTTGAGAGGGACGATCCTCCTCGGGAGCAGAAGGCACAGCCCTATGCCCCACGCCGCTGACGGCCGCGAGCCTCCTCCTCCGGGCTGGCCCGGCGCCACCCCAGACGGGGCCAGGCCTCTCGGCCACTAGCGTGTGCGTGGCAGCTCACAGCTGTGCGGCCGCTCCTGGGTGACGGGGGCGGGGGGGTCCGTGCGCCCGCCTGGCCGGAGCTGACGGGCCCTGCCGCTCTGCCCAGGTTAGTGGAAGACTACCTCGAAGCCATCGAGGGAATCAAGAGGCACCTGCTGCGCAGGTCTGAGCCCAGGAAGCTCACCTTTGTGGGGGAGCTCGCCCACGGCCGCTTCAGCGCCAAGATGGTGAGCGTGTGCACGAGCCAGGTGGGGTGTCGGGGGCGGGAGGCTTCAGCACCCTCCTGTGTGTCCTGAACCGCGACGGATTCGTGAGTCCGGACGTTGCAGGGAGCGATGCAATTCCGGCCGTGGGGCGTGTGGCTGGGCTGCGTGGCCTGCGTGTCTCCACGACGGCAGCGGGAGCTGAGGGGGAGCTGGGTCTGCGATGGGCCCCTGGCCGCTCCCCCAGGGTCCCGGCTCCCCGCCGCCCAGGGACCCCCCCTCCCCCCTCTGCCCTGGTCTCCTGCCACCGGGACTGCGGTGCCCCATTGGTGTTCGTGGGGTCGGGCGGAGGGTCGGGGGCAGGCCCGGGTCGGCATCTGCTCTCCCGGGAGGGGGAGGGGGTGTCCTGCCACCGCCTTCTCCCCTGCTCCCGTTGAGCCCCAAGTGCTGGGCCTGTAGTCGAGTCGCTTGCCCGAGTGGACCCTGAGGCGTCCCCGCTCGGGCTCGTAGGCTCCTGGGGACGTGGGAGGCCCGAGACAGCGCTGGACCCGGTGCTGCCGCCCCCCGCCCCGTGCGGCCACAGACTCAGCGGTGGTGAGGACACGCTCTGATTTCAGGACCACCTGGTATGCTTCCTGCCAGGGACGCTGGCTCTGGGCGCCCACCACGGCCTGCCCGCTGACCACATGGAGCTGGCCCGGGCGCTCATGGACACCTGCTACCAGATGAACCGCCAGATGGAGACGGGGCTGAGCCCCGAAATCGTGCACTTCAACCTGTACCCCCAGAGCGACCAGAAGGACGTGCAGGTCAAGGTGAGCCGGGGCCGGGCTCTGGTGTGGGGGGCGCGTGGGGGCCTCGCCTGAGCTCAGCCCGTGTTCCGCGTCCCAGCCAGCCGACAAGCACAACCTGCTGCGGCCCGAGACGGTGGAGAGCTTGTTCTACCTGCACCGCCTCACGGGGGACCCCAAGTACCAGGACTGGGGCTGGCAGATCCTGCAGAGCTTCAACACGTACACGCGGGTGAGCCGCCTGCCCGCCGCCCGGTCGGCGTCCCCGGCTCCTCACCGGCCACCTCGCCCTGGGCCGCGGGGGTGGGGGGTGGGTGCGCGGGCTCGCCGTGGCCTCGGGAGTTGGGGGCGCGTGGGGGCCGGGGTGTCCCTCGGTCGCGTCTCGAGGGACCAGGCTCTGTGGGGAGGGCCCCTGCCGGGGCCCCATGTGCACGGGGCACATCCTTCCCGGATCCTCCGTGTGCCCGGGGCAGCCCTTCTCCACCCCGGGATGACCTCGGGGCCACCGCTCCCCGACGGCGCCTTGACCTGGCCCTGCCCCCACCGTGCTCGGGGCCCTGCCGCCCGTCCTGCCGCCGGGGCCGTGGCTCTGAGGAGGTCACGCCCTGTCCAGGGCCCACCACCCACCCTGGCAGAGCCAGAGCTTGACCTCTGCCCTGTGGTGTGTGAGGCGGTGGGGTCTGGACTCCTCAGGTGATCTCGGAGCCTTCGGGAGGCGGCCTCCGAGTTTCGGAGGCGGCGCTTTCCATCAGGTCAGCTGAGGGGGGCTGGCACCTCTGAGGGGGTGTCGTGAGCTGTGGCTGGCCTCCAGGGGGGCCGGTCCCCTGGTGCACCTTGGGGTCACCCCCCCAGGCCCTGCCCTGGGCCGCGCGCGCCCCGGTGAGGCAGGGAGACTCGGGGAGGGGGCCGTCCGGCTGCCGGGCCCGCACCCCGAGGGCCGAGCCCGGTGTGGGGGGCCGGCCGTGCCTGCAGCCGTGACCCCGCGGTCTCGCCTTCGCACAGGTCCCCTCGGGCGGCTACTCCTCCATCAGCAACGTCCAGGATCCCCTTAATCCCCAGCCCAGGGATAAGATGGAGAGCTTCTTTCTGGGGGAGACGCTCAAGTACCTGTATCTGCTCTTCTCCGACGACCCAGACCTGCTCAGCCTGGACGCCTACGTGTTCAACACCGAGGCTCACCCCCTGCCCATCTGGGTCCCGCCTAGGGGGGCCTGACGCCCCTGTGGGCAGTGCCTCAGACGTGACCCATCCCTGCTGTGATTCAGGGTTTCCCGTCCACTGGAGGAGGCTTCTTCCTTCTTCCTGTGAATCTTGAATCATGTTTACATTCCGAATACCCGAACAGCTTCCCGTCAGCCGGTGCCCGCGCTTCGTGGTGGTCCCTCGTGCCTGGTCGTCTCCCGGGGCGGCGCTGGGTCCCCCACATCGTGTTCGGAGACAAGAGCTGAAGGGACAGCCCGACATGCGGCTCAGCCTGGGGTCAGAGCCTGCGACGTGCCCCGACCCGAGGGTCCGGGGGGGGCGCCCGTGACCCCCTGCGCATCCGGGCACCTGGTGGGTGGGCTGTGGTGTTTACACGTTGGACTCAGGGATCCTCCCCTGGCCCTGCAGGGGCTGGGAGGGGCGGGTGGGCGAGTTCGTCCTGCTCCTGGACCACCTGCTAGAATGGACCATAAAGTAGATTTGTGCTGACGTCACGTGCGAGACCCCGTGTTTCCTGAGCTGTGGTCGGACTCCGGCCACTGTGGTAGCCGCACCTCGTGCTCTCCGCTTGGACGTCAGAACTCTCTCTGTGACAGGCAGCCTGGGGACCCGGGACCGGGCGGTGTGGACGTGGAGTCCACGCTTCCGCAAGAGAGGACACCCTGCACCTGCTCGTCCTTGGGGGGGGGATGTGTCCTGGGCTCCGTGTCCCCAGGTGGAGGTGTGCCTGTCCCTCCCACGGGAGCCTGCCGCTTCCCTCCCTGAGCCCTGACTTGGGGCGCTTTTCCAGAAACGAATCCTGGCGTGTGGCGGGGGAGCCTGCTCCCTAGTACCGGGTGGCCCCCAGGACAGGCGCAGGTCCTCCCTCTGACACTCCTGAGCAGCCCAGTACCCTTGTCATTTCTAGAAGATCCTCCCTCCCAGAGCTGCCGGGCCTCTCCTGCTGGTGGATGATGCCTCTGCGGAGGTCCAGCCCCCAGTGCCCTGCAGGACCTGGGTTCTGGCCATGTTCCCTGGTGTTCCAGCACCTCAGGTGCCCAGTGGCCGCCCTTGGGGCTGCCTTCCACCCTTGACCCGATACCGTGTCTTTGTGCCTGGAACAGGGTGCAGGGCCTGTCTTCCAAGGGGGCTCTGTCCCCCCGCATTGCTGCCCGCAGCTCCTCCGTGCCCACGGGTGGGGTGCCCACCCCGGGGGTGGAGCTGCGGGCCCAGGTCCCCTCCACGCCCGGGGTCCGGCCCCCAGAGGCCCGGCTGGGGTGGCAGGTGGAGCGCTGCACCCCTCAGTGGGGCTGCTCAAAGGACGCTTGGGCTGGCCACAGGGTACCCCCGCCCATGCCCTGAGACCACACGCAGACTGAAGGCTCAGTTTTATTCTGTGCGAGGCTGGTTTGGGAGCCTGCAGTGCGTTCACCACGTCTGCTCCCTTGGCCCGCGCTGCACTCGGCCCCAGAGCCCTCTGAGACGCTGCCCTCTCTGGTCCTGGGCCGGGGAGCGCTCCTCAGCCCCCGCGTCCCCCACGCTGGGCCACCTGTATCCGCTGTTGGCGTCTGGCTGCTTCCACCCACTCGCGGATGAGCCTGGCCTCGAACGCACGAGCCTCTCGGACAGACGCCGGGTCTTCTGGGTGAGACGCTCTAAGGGGAGGCACGGGGCCTCAGCTGGGCAGCAGGCCGAGCCCTGCCCCACCCCAGCCCACGTCCAGCCGCTGGCCCGGGCCACACACAGCACCACTCCTGGCAGGTCCGCACCTGAGGTCTAGGTGATGGGCCCCCCCCCGGATGGTGATGGCAAGGACCGACGTGCTCAGGTTACTCCGGATCTGTCGAAGGACATCCCGTCAGCCGCCCGGTGTGCTCTGAGCCACGGCCAGCCCACCCCTGCCCACTCGTGCGGCCTGCGGCGGGGCTGCTTGTCCAGCTCGGGGTGCAGCTGAGGCAGGAACGAGCAGCCTCGTTAGAAAGAGGCGGAGGTTAGGGTGCCCGACGTCAGTTCACACTTGGAAGTCGGGGAGGGGACATCTGGGGGCTCGGTCCGTTAAGCGTCCGACTCGATGTCGGCTCAGGACCTGTGGGGTCGTGGGATTGCGCCCCGTGGCAGGCCCCGTGCTCAGCAGGGATTCTGCCTGAGATTCTCTCCCTCCCTCTGCCCGCCCCCCCAAAGGAGGTCCAAGGGGGAGAACCATCAAAGGGAGGAGGAGAGGAAGTTAGAAAGAAAATGAAGGGCACACAGAAGCCAGGAGCGGAGGGTGGCTGACCGACAGGGAGGGTCCCGCATGGGCCCCCCAGCGGGCCAGAGCCAAGAGCACCTGCAGCAGCTCCCAGGCCGTGCCTCACCCCGCCCCCTGCCCAGGGGTCCAGGTCACCGTTGGAGAAGAGGATGTTGCTGGCAGCTTTGAGGTCTGAAAGGGACAGACACGGGGGTGGAGACGGGCCCGGCCGCCCGGATCTGAGCCGTGGCCAGATCAGGGGAGCCGAGTCCGCGGGGGGCGCAGGGAGGGAGGCTGCCCTCTCGAGCCGTACCGTCCCCGCCGAAGCTGGTGTGCAGCCAGTCCCTCCGGGGCCACACGCCCCACGTGTCCAGGCAATACTGCTGGCGGAGGGCCTCGGTGAAGGGCAACTCGGGGAAGAGGTCTGTCACGTTGTTGCTGGAAAACGTCAGGTTGATCTCGGTGCAGGCCTGTGGGACGCCGCACACCAGGGTCGGGCGGGGGCGCACCCAGCGCCTCCGTCCCGGGCAGTCCCGGGCGGCCGGCAGCCCTACCTGGTAGTCCCAGGCCCTGGCATTGGGGCCGGAGCCACAGCCCGTGGGGTCCGCGCAGGCCTGGTACTGCAGGTAGATGTCGTAGCAGGGCGCTGTGCCCGAGGAGTTATACACCAGCCCTGGCGGACAGGCCCGGGCGCTCCTTGGGTCTGTGCTGGTGGCTCTGACCCCCTGCGTCCCCCGACGGCCCCCCTCCCAGCAGGGCAGGTCGTGGCAGGGCAGATCCCCCAGGCCGGGCCAGGGACGGCATGGGGACGTCGGTGCTCCTTGCCTGCACGTGGCCCGCACCCCAAGCCGTGTCCACCCCCACGCTTTGCGCTGGGCTGAGGGGAGACGCACCAGCCAGTGTTCCCAGCCCCTTGATCCTCTGGCTCTCGCTCAGCAGCCGGTCACAGCCAACCTGGGGATGCCAACCAAAGACCCCCACTTGGCCTGCAGCCCCCTCGCAGTCCACCCTCCCTGGTCCCGGGCCCCGGAGTGGCTGCGAGGCTCTTGGGCTGACCAGCACTGGCCGGCCCACGGCAGCTGGGCCCTTCTCCGTCCACGGACACCACCCTCCCCAGACCCCAGGCAGCGTCTCCTTATGCTGGGAGCAGCCGTCTTGCCTTGACTGGGTTGGCAGGAAGGTGCCCGAGGAAGTCGGTGGGGTACGGGTAGTCCATCATGGCCAGCACGGTGAAGGCATTGCGGGCGAACCCAAAGAGCTGGGTCAGGTCCTCCCAGCTGGACAGGCGCTGGCAGGTGCCGAACTCCCGGCTGACCGTGTCTTGGGCTGCCAGGGGGAGGCGGGACAACGGCCTCTGGCGGCTGCTGGTGGGCGTGGGGCGGGGGCCAGGGGAGGGGAGGGCTGGTCCGCAGCTCACGGTGGGGCCTTCTCACCTCCCTGTAAGAACAGGTCCTTGATCTGCCGGAACGCGTCCCGCACGCCCTGGGCACACTTGGGACTCTGGCCCTCGAAGTCCTGGAGAGAGAGGGGTTGTGGCTGCCGCCGCCGCAGCCTGGCCCGGCCCCGGGGCCCCGGGGCCCCGGAACCCTCGCTCACCGCCGAGACGTCGCGGAAGAACTGGTAGGAGTCGCCGAGGCCAGCCGCAGACACGAGGGGCGCACTGGCCGCGAGCGCGCCGTCCACGAGATGGGGGTACTTGATCCTCATGTAGGCGCTGAGCATCCCCCCGTAGCTGGGCGGACACACAGCGTGGGGCTGGGGCCACAGCGTCCCCAGGACGCCCCTCCGCTCTCCCTCCCCAGAGCCCACGGTGCCCCCGGGAGGCCCTGCCACTTCCGTCCCACAGAAGTCCTGGCCCTGGGGCCAAGCACGCGCGTGTGGCTCAGGGAGAAGCGAGCCGGGCGAGGGCCCACCTGCCACCAAAGGCGATGGTGGGGCTGTCCGGGGCCCCGAGGTCCCTCCGCAGCGCGCCGAGCAGCCTCGCGAAGTCGGCCAGGGCCTGTTCCACGGTCAGCAGCTCCGTGTGCCCGCGCTGCGTGGACCGCTCGCCGAACGGGAGTGACTTCCCATAGTAGCGCTGCAGGCGGGCGCCGGTGGGACTGAGCCCGGCCCCCCACGCCCGCCCTCCCCGCCCACGCCGCCCCCGGTACGCACGTGCTCCGCGAAGACGACCAGGGCCTCCTGCTGTGCCGCCAGCTCCAGGATGAACCCCGAGTTGTTGGCGAAGGACCACACGTTTCCCTCGTTGCCCGTGTAGAAGAATATGGGCCCCCTGCCCCTCTTCCAGAACTTCTCTGTCGGGCGGAGGCAGGAGGGGGTGGGTGAGGCGCGGGGCAGGACCCCGGGCCCCGGGCCCCCCAGGGCGACCTCACCTGACACCAGAAACCGCTGGGGGAAGGTCTTGTTGCCAAACCTCTCGAAGTTGAAATGGTCCAGAAGCTGCTCAAAGTAGCCCTCCCGAAAGTCGCTCCCCGGGACCCTGTGGGCTGCAGGGGTGCAGTGCTCAGCGCATGGGGCACACCGGACGGGGTGGGGGGGACGCCCGCGGGCCCGCACTCACCCCTGGCCCCCGGGCTGCGCGGCTCCAGCGCCAGCAGCAGGGTCAGGGCCCAGGGCAGGGCCGGCCGGAGCTGGGCGCCCATCTCTGCTCGGCGGCGGGGCGCGGTCACATGACCGGCAGGCGGCCCTCACGTGACAGCCCGAGCGGTTTGTGGGCTGACCTTCCGCGCCTCCGTCGGCTCCTGGGGCCTTCCGTCCCGTCTCGAGGTTCCTGCCACCCACTGCGTCGCCACGGAGACCGTCGCCGTGGAGACGCTGGAAGCGGGAATGGGCTCAAGGACCTGGTGCTGGGACAGGACGTGTGCCCAGCCATCCGTCCTCCAGGGGCCACTGCCCAGGGCCCGGGCGCCCCGTGCAGGGAGACCTGCATGGCGGCAGGAGGGAGGCAGAGGGGTCCCCGCTGGCTGTCCAGGCTGCTCCTCTTGGCGCCTCCCAGCCTCTGGGCCCCCCGGTGCCGTCCTGGGCTGATCCTGGAGGAGAAGAGCGGGAGCCTTGGGAAGATGGGGCGGCAGCGGGAAGGAGGGGTCTCAGGCAGAGGCCAGCAGGCCTGCGGAAAGGGCTTGTCCAAGAGACAGGGACCTCACGGCTGCAGCAGGGGGGCGGCCGGGCAGGCAGGGGTTTGGGCAGTGCAGGGATGTGGCTGCTGAGAGCCGCTGGGAGCTGGGAGCCTCTCGCCCACCCCCACCCCCGCCCCCGCCCCCGGCTGCTCCCTTTGATGAAGGATAGGCCGGCAGGATGAGGGGCTCCGGCCCTAAGCGGAAACGACCCTTAAAAGGATTTTACACCCACCCTGCAAGGAGCCCTCCAGCCTTCCCCACCTGAGAGATGACCGGAACCTGATTGCATGACAGGTCGTCCGCCAACAAGCCCATTAAAACTCCGGTGGCTTTGTCCTCCATCACTCAGTAAACCTTGCTTCCCGGCCCACCACCCTGTGTGGTCTCCTCCGTTCTTTGCAGCGGTGCGACCAAGAACCACGGAATATCGTGCAACGCCTTCACTGGTCCCTCAGTCAGATGGGGGCCAGGAGGTGCCCGGACACTGCAGGGCCCCCTCTCCCCCAGCAGCCAGCCTGGGCCCAGGTCAGGGGTCAGAGCTGCAGAACCACCCTGCCCCCAGCTGCAGGGCGAAGGGGGGGTCAGCCGGCCCCGCTCCCCATGCCATCCCTGGCTGCAGGGGAAGGGGGGTCAGCCGGCCCCACTCCCCAC